CACTACTCCTAACTTATCGTCGTCGTCCGCGCCCAGCATCAGGCCTACCTAATTCACGCACTGCACCTGACCCTACTAATATTACAGACTTGTCTCCTCTTAGTCAACCGATTGCATTACGAAAAGTTATACAGTCCACACTTAATCCTAATCCCCATTATGTCGGTTTAAGTTACCATTGTCTGTCATCACCCCTATCGTGCATTTGTATCATCTTTATCCTCTGTTTCTATCTCTAAGTCTACAGGTGAAGTACTATCTCATCCAGGATGGCGACAAACTATGATTGACGAGATGTCTACTTTACATACGAGTGGTACTTGCGAGCTTGTTCCTCTTTCTTCGGGTAAATCAATTGTTGGCTGTCGTTGGGTGTATGCAGTCAAAGTTGGTCTAGATGGCCAGGTTGATTGACTTAAGGGTTGTCATGTTGGGTATACTCAGATATTTGGGCTCGATTATAGTGATACTTTCTCTCCCTTGGCTAAAATAGCATCAGTCCGCCTTTTTCTATCCATGGTTGTTGTTCGCCATTGGCCTCTCTATCAGTTGGATATTAAGAATGCTTTTCTTCACGGTGACCTTGAGGATGAGGTTTATATGGAGCAACCTCTTGGTTTTGTTGCTCAGGTGAAGTCTAGTGGCCTTGTATGTTGGTTGCGTCGGTCCCTCTATGGTCTAAAGCAATCTCCTCGAGCCTGGTTTGGTAAGTTTAGCACAGTTATTCAGGAGCTTGGCATGACTCGTAGTGAAGCTGATCACTCTGTGTTTTATCGGCATTCTGCTTCAAATCTCTATATTTATCTGGTGGTTTATGTTGATGATATTGTTATTACCAGCAATGATCATGATGGTATTACTAAGTTGAAGCAACATCTCTTTCAGCATTTTCGGACTAAGGATCTGGGCAGATAAAAGTATTTTCTAGGTATTGAGGTCGCTCAGTCTAGCTCAGGTATTATGATCTCACAACGAAAGTATGCCTTAGACATTCTTGAGGAGACAGGAATGACAAGCTGTAAACATGTTGACACTCAGGGGGAGCCGCTTAGCGATCCTGCAAGATATAGGCAGCTAGTTGGTAAATAATAAATACAATTACACTCAATTAAATCAAGTCTTTCAAATAAAGTCATTCTGCCATATAACTCTTCCAAATAACTCTCTTTCAAATATAATTTTCTCAAATAATTATTTTTCAAATATAATTCTTTCAATAAATCTTTTCATATATAATTCTTTCATATAATACTTTCTAAGTAAAAATCCTTTCAAATAAATATTTTGAATTAAATTACCTCACAGTGACTAGACCTGACATTTTTTTTCTTGTGAGTGTTGTAAGTCATTTTATGGATTCTCCCTGTGATAGTCATTGGGAAGCAGTTGTCTACATTCATTGGTATATAAAATCAGCTCCAGGCAAAGGACTATTATTTGAGAATCGAGGCCATGAGAAGATCGTTGGATACTCAGAAGCTGATTGGGCAGGATCACCTTCTGATAGGCGTTCTATGTCTGGATATTATATTTTGGTAGGAGGTAACTTGGTGTCTTGAAGAGCAAGAAACAGAATAATGTTGCTCGGTCTAGTGCAGAAGCAGAATATCAAGAAATGATTGACAATATGTGAGCTAGTTTGGATCAAACAGTTGCTCAAGGAGTTAAAATTTGGTGAGATCAGCCAAATGGAATTTGTGTGTGATAATCAAGCTGCTCTTCATATTGCAGCAAATGCGGTGTTCCATGAGAGAACTAAACATATTGAGATTGACTATCACTTTGTCAGAGAAACGATACTCTCAGGAGATATTACTACAAAGTTTGTGAAGTCGAATGATCAGCTTGCAGATATTTTCACCAAGTCTCTCACTAGTCCTTGTATTAGTTATATATGTAACAAGTTCAGTACACATGATTTGTATGCACCAGCTTGAGAGGGGGTGTTAGAATAGTTATGTGAATATATATATAATTAGTCATAGTCCCCTATGTAATAGGAGTAGGTTATATATTATGTGTACTTATAAATAGGGTTCATTGTATTACAATTAACATCAATAATAGATTTTTCTCACGTGCATTCTCACACTATGGAAGATCAATGCTGGAGAAATTAACTTCTGGTGGGATAGCAGGATAGATAATGGAGCACTAGCTAAGCTGGTACCTTACACTCCCAGGAATTTCAAAAGTACGATCAGTGATTTTCTTATTGATGGAAGATGGAACATTGACAAGATTAGGGAAGCAATCCCAGAACAACTGGCTCAACAGATCAGGCATATTGAAATTGGAGAACCTGATCAATAAGATTATGCAATATGGAAGGACACTGAAGATGGGAAATACTCTACCAAGTCTGCATGGTCGGCAGTTAGACATAGCAAGCAAAAGAATCTGGAGTTAAATAAAGTGTGGCACAAATCGATTCCATTTAAAAACTCCTTCCTGGTGTGGAGACTTTTCTTGAGGAAGTTACCTTTCGATGAAGTGATTGCAAATTTTGGGAATCATACGGTCTCCAGATGTTTTTGCTGTCAAAGAACAGAATATGATTCCATCCAACATACCTTTATAGAGGGTGAGGCTGCCTCTCATGTGTGGAAATATTTTGGAGGGCCTTTATGTATCACCCATCATAATAATTGGGATATTAGAAGAGTGTTCAAACAGTGGTGGAATATGAAGCATAAGAATAAAGTACACATGCTAGTTCTTCAAGCTATGCCTGTGATTATCAGTTGGGAAATATGGAGGAACTGGACTTCTTGCAAATTTGGTGATCAAAAAAGATTTGTTAGAGTTAAGGTGGAACAACAAATTGTTTGGATTATCAAAGCTACTCTACAAATTGCCTCCCAAAAATTGAACTTCCTGGAACTTGGATCGCTATCTGTGACATGGTGGAGAGGAGTTCCTATCTGTGACATGGTGGAGAGGTTGAAGGCAGTAGTGATTTGGAGGCAAGTAAATTGGATTAAACCTTTACCAGATATGGTAAAGGTCAATACTGATGGAAGCTATGTTATGGAAACTGGCAGAGCCAGTATAGGAGGTGTGGTCAGAAATGAGAATGGAGATCTAATCATGGCCTTCTCAATCCCTATTCAATCCAAAAGCAACAATCTAGGAGAGGCTGCTGTTGGAACTAGTACCTTTTATCACTCTTTTCAACAACTTTCGAAAGAGGTGAAAGGAATTTTTCAACTTGACAAATGGCAGTCACCTAACATAAGAAGAAGATGTAACAAAGCTAATTTTTTTGTTTGTTGAATTATACTTAGGAGATATGGAAGTGTTCTTGTATAGTGAAGTCTCTTCCATATTATCTTTTGAAGACTGTATGTAAAAATCTTGTAAGTAATGCTTTGGAGGTCAGGTTTATGTCCCCCTCCTCTCTTTGTACTCTACAACTTTTGTAACTCCCCAAAGGAATTTTTCAACTTGACAAATGGCAGTCACCTAACATAAGAAGAAGATGTAACAAAGCTAATTTTTTTGTTTGTTGAATTATACTTAGGAGATATGGAAGTGTTCTTGTATAGTGAAGTCTCTTCCATATTATCTTTTGAAGACTGTATGTAAAAATCTTGTAAGTANGAAATAAATGTATTTTTTTCCTCTCTGACTCGGAATGTTCTTGTCTCCTCTCTTCTGCCAGTGGAACTGGAGCGGATATGGACATTGTTTTCTCAAGTGTCCAAGCCTATGTTGGTGCATTGAACAAAGTGTTGAGTTTCAAGTAGCTGGTTTGAAGACACAACAAGCCTGAAGATAGTGTGGTTGCATAAATAATGGTAGTATTGAGTTTCTTGTGACTGTTTGGAAGCTCTGGCCTGGAAGAAGTGCAAATAAGTTGTAATGCATTCTCATTTACTTCTATCTCTCCATTCTTCAGCATGTTGATGTAAAACCTATAGTTTCTTGAATAAATTAAGTTTAAATGTCTCTTAGTATGTGAAGATCATTTAAGCTTTGCATTGTCCCAATTAAACACTGATACATAATCGATACAAGATGTGGTTTAGCTTCAAACTTGTTTTTGCTTTTCCATTACTCAGATAAGAATTTCCCTTTTGTTAATTTCAGTAACTTCTGAGTTTTGCTCCCAATCACATAGGCTTGCTTCTAAATGATTTTGAAAATTTTCAAAAATATGTTACATTGTCAATTTTAAGGGACCATAATGTTTCTCGCTGAAATAAGAAACAGCCTTTCTTGACTTATATTTCTTTTTTATTCACGTTGTCACTCTTTCTACACTCAGTTGATTTATGGCTATGGCCAGTAAGAATACGTTGATTCACCACTTTAATTCCTGAGTTTTGTTGCATTGCTATTTTGTTCCAATTATGGTGTTGAATATTTTGGGAATTTTTTGGTGCCAAGATTTGATGCCTTGGATGATGATTGGAAATTGGACTGTGGAATTGAAGAAGCAACGCCTTCTGGCACATCTAAGATACAACTCAATTTATTCAAGTCTTGGAACATCTCTAGTCAAAACCGAAAGGAAAGATAGTGTGTACGTCAGTTGGTTTTGAATTAGACACTGGATTGGATGAAGTGTGAGCATTTGAATGCTTTGTTTCTAAAGTTGTAAGCTGTTTCGATAGACCATCAACTCCCTCCCTCCAAAAATTCCCCACCTTGCTCTTGGAGTGACTCGAACTCACAACCTCTTGGTTGGAAGTGGAGTGTACTCACCACTAGAGCAACCCACTCTTGTCTATTTGTTTACCAAAATTAAGTTATAAAATTGATGCCCGTATGTGTATCAATTAATAATATTAAGTGATAACATAGAATAATAGTAAGTGATAACAGTTTATGTAACGGCACATGTTATTTATTGGATCGGTAAAAACACAGTGGATAAATTTTTCCCGATAAGGAAAAAGTACTGCCTGGAGAGGAGCTGCTCCCAAATTGATGAGATGAGACAATAAATTTCTATTTTTGCATTTGAAAAGAGCAATATTGAGAAAAGCATATACTGAGGACACCAGAAAAAATCAGCTATCATTAATACAAAAATTGTGTCCATAGATTATAAAAGCACACCACTTGACCTCCGTTTGGGGAATAGGGTGCAGTTACTATCAAAAGATTGTGCTGAAATTACATGGACTTATAGTACTATCTTACTTACAAAGAAACAAAACAGAAATATGGAACACTTACAATATTCTTGAGACCAAGTATACCTTACCCTACACTAGCAGTTTCTTGAGTAACGGAAGGCCCAGACGCAACGTTTTGTGTTTCACTTCCTGAGTTTCTGGATTCAACATATGAACGAGCCATTTGGATCATTGTCGAAACCTCCTTCTTGTACTGCATAGGGGAGGTGGAAGACAGTAAAGGAGAAAAAGAAGCCCATATCAATCTCTTGTAAGTCACCTTAGCTATACATAAATGGAAAAGGATCCTTCCAAAGGTGATAATTACCTCGTCAACAGCTCCTGCCTTAATTTTAGACTGCATAATGCACCATTTCTTGAAATGTGCACCTGTTCAAATCTTGGAAGTTAGTTCAACTTCACAATATCATATCCCCATTCTTGAATATGCTGTTGAAACTCTAGGTTCTAATCTTCCCGGTTCTACCGCAATGTTCACAATACCCATTACATAACACAACAGACACCTATTAACTACGCATTAGCCTGCATCATGCTAATACTTCACACAGATATATAGACATAAATAATGACGACAATGCAAATACTGAACAATCAGCTTGGACTACTGCAACTTAAGATCAGATGATCTTAGAAGGTGGAACTTGGGAAGAACAAGTGAAGGCACTAACCATTGCACCAGGCAAGCAGTTTCTCACTTGACTTAAAATCTAAGTGTAATAAATGATAAGGGTAGAAGCCCCAAAAGAGTCAACAAAAGAATAATATATTTAAGGTGACTAGTAAGTTAATTGACAGAAAGCATACAACAAATATAAACTAGAAGACGGCCAGAACTGTAACACAAGGATGACTTAGAAAGATGAGTGGCCAAAAGATGCTCTAGAGATTAATGGCAGACTAATTGATCTCTTAGAGAGGTAACGTTATTCCAGGTGGCGCATTACAACTGAATAATTAAATATTCCAGATCCGGGTCTGTTTCTAGCAAGAATCTAGTATCAAGGATTGCCACGAAGAACTGCGATGCCCTTTTCTAAAGAGACGTCTTCAGAATGCCATAATGCTTCATTTACAAACCTCATCAGAAAGGACTCGGGACCAGGACCCAGAAAAGTGACAAATGGATTGAACACTACAAACTGAACAAAAAACCATAGCCTAGACGAAACTTACCAACTTTTATGTCTAAAACGCAGGATGATTCAGAAGATGCCTCTAAAGACCACCTACAGTGGACCTGATTCAATATCAAATCTAATCAGTATAAGAAAGATAAATATGGAACAATCCTTGGCGGATAAGCCATGGAACAAAGCAAAAGTGGGTTATTATCTACAAGGACTTCCATGGAATTGAAACCATGAATACTGGAAAAGAATATGGTCTGATGACCAAACGCAACAGCACCTCAAAGCATGATCCAAATGGGACATCATGTGCCTGTTGTACAGTCTCAAAAACCTAGAAGAAAGGAAAATGGTAAATTAAAAAAAATAAGACAAATGATCAAAGCATAAAAGCAACCAGTAAATAATTGTGGCACGAAATGATGAGAAATACCAGCATGTTCTTCTCCGGTGACAAAACGGCATGCTGGTACTCTGTCATTGCTGAATCTGGGGGGCACATGGGACTGTTACATATGGTTCTGAATGTAATCTCTCTGACTTGACCGTCATACTCATCAGCAGAATGCCACTGACCGATCTAAGAAAATAAAGACATTCGAAAGTTTAGTCACCATTAAGGCCACAGAGGTAAAGCAATTTCTATTTTGGGTCATTGTAGCTCAAGACAGGACCAACTGAAACACAGAGTAATGTCTCCTCGCAAAGATAATTTAAATTTTGTTAACCGCATCGCGGGAAAAAACATTTATGCCTGAGACGATGACTAATTTGCTCCATCAAGATAAACAAAATACATCTATGACGGGTCAAATATTTTATTTAGTTCCTTTTCTTCTCGTAGTACAACGTTTTGGTGCTTCAAAACTAATTTAATGAACTAATATCAGTAGTGGCCAGTAGAATTTAACAGACAAAGGAACACAGAGGTCTAGTCCACAAGGAACACATCAACTAAACTTAAGCAGTAGTTTTCATCATTCTGAAAGCTTACTTCTTTCTGTTCCGTCCAGAAACTTAAGCTTACTTCTTTCTAGTCCACAAGGAACACATCAACTAAACTTAAGCAGTAGTTTTCATCATTCTGAAAGCTTACTTCTTTCTGTTCCATCCAGAAGTAACTCATATTAAACTTTCTTTCCTGTAGTATGCAGAAAGAGTGAATAAAGCTAAATTTAGTTTGCTAAATGTCCACTCATATTTTGGGTGATTTAGAGCTGTTTAGTAACAGTATAATATAAGAATTTATTCCTTGTTGATCTTAAAATCCTTTAAGTGCAGGAATAGTGCTTAGATAGGATAATGCCAGTAATTGATCTAATTCATCAGAGAATAGTGCTTAGATACAATAATGCCAGTAATTGATCTAATTCATCAGACTTTAAAAACAGTTGCCCTTCTTCAGCCCTTTCTGTCAGGCCTGGGCATATCTGCACTGAGTAGACTTCATGCAGATTTAGATGTATACACAACATACCATCACATTCAAGCTATGGGGCAAATATATTTCACCAAGTTCACTTTTTCTGGTTACTTGCTTTCCAATAAACAGATAGAGATTAATAAGAAACTGCACTAGAAGCATAAGCACTGCAACCTGATAATCAAATCAGAGGTTCTTCGTGTTTTCTTACTTGCTAATTGCCTCTTGGAACTCAGCTATTACCAACCTTTTTTTACTTTTGACTGGGCCCATGACCCAAAAGATGCATTTTAGTTGAGCTAGAAATCATTTTGACATCTAATTCTACTAAAACATCCCCCTTTATCCACAAAAAGATAAAAACTGTATAACTAATGCTCCGAAATGTATATTTCACAAACGGGTTCTAACTATATGCATATGGAAGGTTGAACTTACATTGAGATTAGAATCTTTACGTGCTGTACGATACTCATTAGTATAATTTGAACCATCAGCCAGTAGTAAGTCAAAAACCTGCTGAGGTGTGCATGGGAAAATGTCCTGAAAATTTTTAATAAAATCATGTATCATGTATCAAGAGATTCTAGTTGCTAAAAGATAAGAGCTTAGGTCTCATACATACATTGTATATACCAGAAAGGACTTCTTCTTTAATAAAAGGCTGAGATTTCTCAGTCTTCGACACATTTTCTTTCCGACTCATATCCATCTTTTTACTTCCTTTAACCGAGCTGCTATGTGCACGTAGTGCTGACTGTTCCCTCTCCTAAAAGAAAACAGAGAGAAAATTTGGGATTGTCACAACCAAAAAGATAAATGGTATCAGGCAGAGAAAGGAGATTCTGGGGAACAACTGTCCATGTCTAAGTAATAACAAATTCCTAGCAGAGATTTATGAGAAAATTAAAAACTGCTGAGATTAAGAACATCTCTGCACATGATGTTGCTTCAGCAAGCTCACAGCAAAAAAGAGAATCATTACATAAGAACCATTATCTGAGATCAGAAGTATTCAGCGACAATAACAAATTGCTATACAAATGACATAGCAATTTTTTGAAGCCTCCAAATCAAGAGTGTATTCCTTTGCTCTTCTGCTTGGACAACAAGTTGATAAGATGTTTAAGAAAAATGAAACACGAGCTTCATTGTTTTTGTAATAAAGATATTTAGGCAGGCAACAATTAACAGGCAAAGTAAACCCTCCGCATGAATCACACATTTTTTCTGAAGCACTTATTAGTTAATTGTGACATTCCTTGCAGTTACCCGTTGCATTCACCTTGAAGACACTCATACATGGTACTTAAGAGATACTTGCCTTGGTTTACAAGCCATAATCCTTCCTACAAAACCCAATATCTGCATGACAAAAAGCTACACTAAAAGTAAAGTCTACATGAAAGAGAGACTATAGAGATGAAGTTGCGTCTGCCCTGAAAAAGCCCATGTCCCCTACTCACAATGTTAATATTATTGTCCAGGATCATAACCATACACTTGATTTAGATAAACTCACTCATGAAACGCCTTTTTTCCCTTGGAACAAGGGTCTATTTGATTGTAAGCAAGGTTTCTAATGTCATTCTTCTGCGCTACCAGGCGGTCAAATCATTATAAATGTTTGAACACAAGCAAATAAAACACGGTCCATCACAACTCAACACATGTATTCTAGTAATCTAGTCCTTTATTCTTTTTTGTTTTCTCTCTTTAAATTCTTTAACTATTCTCGTGCTTGGAATGTACATCAACATGCCTCTGTGTTAATCAGCCTAAACGGCTTCCTACCACACTACAGCTCTTCATGAGATCCATGAAAATAGTAATCATACTGCTGTCCAAAGACTACTTCCTACCTTGAGCACAAATAGAGATATTAACTACGCTAGCGGAAGTCTTGCATCAACAAGAATTAAGACAAATAGATGAAAAACCTAATCTTGATGTCCACTATGCTAATACATTAGAACTTGTATCTTACATGATACCTACCCTATAGGCTACATGAACATTTTGGTACATTTAATTTAGGTAGTAAATATTTACAATGTAACACAGTGAAGCAAGCGGCAGAGGATGTCAATCACTAACCAATTCTCTGTCCTATTGCATACAGATTATGTTGTATGGTCTGGAGCATGATTTGGAGCAGAATGGGTGATACTATAGACTGTAGGAGAGACGCTTCTAGGATAAAAATTAGAAGAGAGAGGAGGAGGATGAGAGGAAAGAGCTCCTCCGCTGCTCATGTGGATAATATGCCAAGAGAGAAATAGGAGAGCATTTGAAGGGATAGAGAACTTCTTTGTACAGATAATTGGAAATTTTCCGTATTAATGGAGCACTTAGTGATTTAGTGTTAGTGTTGATGTTGTTTGAAAATAATCATGTCTTTCTTTTAGATTCTCTACTTTTATATACACCTTGTATGTGGGATTTCCCAATCTCATCAATAAATCTTCATCAACCCAAAAAAAAAAAGAGAGAAGAAAACACAGTGAAGCAGGTAATTTGATTTCCAGGATGTTGTGCAAGCAAGTAACCTTCACTAAAGATGTATAACTGCTTAGTGTCTCAGATAATCAGAAAAAGGACTAATTAAAAGCACAGAAAAACCTTTTTCTCTGCTTCTAGCATGGCGTGGTAGTCTGTTGCTGACCGTTGCAAGGCTCTAATTGCATGATTCCTATTCCAAAAAGACGCAAACATATATCGTACCCTCCCTGGAAGTTGAAAAGATATGTGATTAGCAAATAGATTTTAACAATCCAGAATGTCAATATAACTCACCCTCTAACATGAGTAACACAAACAACCTCTCTTCTTTTCAATTTGAATCTTGTATTCACTTGCAAGAGTATTTATAGCGGAGATTATTGTGTATATTTTGTAGTTTGTTGTTAACTAGAAGAACATGTGGGGCCAACAGCTTTTAAAGTTCTCTTTTTTAGTCCAAATAGCTTTTAGAGTTTTAAGTAGCAGAAATAGGAAACTGTTGCATTGAGAAGTTTAGAACTAGGTCCTGAGTAATTGTTGGGTTATATAATACATGGTACTTCAAAATTTTAATTTTCATAAAAGTAGAAGTGTTTTGATCCAGCCAAGGAGAAAGGTATATGCAACTTGGTATGTGGTGTTAGATAGTTATGTGTAAATAATTCTAGTCCCGTATGTAGTAGGAGTAGAATATGTCCTAGTCCCATATGTAGTAGGAGTAGAATATGTATTATATATAGGGCTCATTGTATCATTGTTAATCAATAATAGATTTTTCTCCTGTGCATTCTCACAAGGTATTAGAACATCAGTGAGAAAATTATCACTGTGCGTCATTCCAGCGACATATGGGAAGAAAGATCTCGTCGCCGTGCAATTTTCCGGCAACTTCGTCTTGTTCCCAGGGTTCATCACTGCTACAGTGGTACTGTGCATATACCGGTACCGCCATCAAATCCGAAACCCTTGTGCAACCACACCCCAGAAATCCCAGTCCAATCGGAACAGAAAAGTCAGTCATTGTGCGTCTTTCTGGTTAACGACTCAAGATTGATTTGCGTTATCTCCTTATAGGTAAGTTGTGCGAAAACCAACACTATCATCTTGTTCGGAAAAGTCAAGCGACAAAACCCCAGTCAATCGCTCCGGCAGAAAGTCCCTCACACACTTCCACGCGCCGCCAGAACTAGGGTTCCGGCGAGCGCGTCTGACACACGCGCCGGCGCGTGGAGCAGTTTCCAGCCAGAATTTTCAAAAAAATTCTTTAGGACAGTTGTTTCGTGGGGTGGTTCCGAGTCCACCAGTACAATTTCCTACAACATATTCCAAGAACTTTGGAATTTGTCGGCGAGCTACAGTAACTTTTCCGGAGCGTGTGAGCCATTCCGGCCACTTTTTGACAAAACTTCTTCAGGACAACTTACTCGTCCAGTGATTCCGAGCTTGCCCATATAAATTACATCAAATTCTGACAAATTTTATTTTTTCGGTGTGAACAGTAATTTCCAGAAAAGTTTCTGTTTTTTGGTGGTGTTTTAAAACCTATTTTGAAGTGTGTAATTCGTCTTAGTCTCACTATTTTCAAATTTCTCCGGCGACTTTTTGGCCAACTACTACTTATCAGCAACCGCCTGGTTTTGTTGCTCAAGGGGAATCTAGGGGGAGTCTAGTGGCCTTGTATGTTGCTTGCGCCGATCGCTTTATGTAACAAGCTCGGTACATATGATTTGTATGTACCGGCTGTTAGATAGTTATGTGTAAAATACTCATATGTAGTAGGAGTAGAATAAAAAACAACAACCCAGTATAATCCCACTAGTGGGGTCTAGGGAGGGTAATGTGTACGCGGACCTTACCCCTACCCTGGGGTAGAGAAGCTGTTTCCGATAGACCCTCGGCTCCCTCCCTCCAAGAACTCCTCATCTTGCTCTTGGGGTGACTCGAACTCACAACCTCTTGGTTGGAAGTGGAGGGTGCTCACCACTGTAGTAGGAGTAGAATATGTATTATACATAGGGCTCATTGTCTCATTGTTAATCAATAATAGATTTTTCTCCCGTGCATTCTCACAGGTGGAAAACTTGGTACGAACAGTCTACAACAGTTATACACATCATCACAGATCTCTTCTAACAAATCAATCAATCAATCTACACCTCAATCCCAAATCTGTTTGGATGGGGCTATATGAATCTTCCATATAAATGAAGAAGAAAAGGAAAAGCTCATTCACTATCCAACGTTCTGGCTCATTTAAATGAAGAAAAAACATTGAAAATAAATGAGATTGAATTAGAAGAATAGGTTGATTTACTAACCATCAGGATTTCCTAAAGGAGGTACCCCATGGCCGCCAGCACCTGTACGTAGAATTATTGTAATAGCAGGGTTAATGAATGCGTGCTGGCTCCTCCTTATCTAAAAGCAAAATAACACTACCATCAATTTCCAAAATATTACCCAGACAACCATCCCAAGCACTGTGACAACTTGGAAATGACAAAATCCTGATAACACACAGATAATATCATACCTCATCAATATCTCCTAAAGGAATAACTACCTGTGAAAACAGAAATTTAAGCATGGTTAAATAAGCAGCCCAGTATACACAAGTTTCAGCATTCTTGAGATGAATTTACTACATATAAAAATGTCGGGAGAAAATACGGTCATGACCAGTTACATTCAGGGTTAGAAAGAGAAACATTAGGATATAGAACCGCGTCTACGAGGGAAATTAGAAAAGAAACGTCTTTAGCCGAATTCAATATTCTTTTTATCAATCAAGAAAAAAAATTCCAACAAATTTTTGAATAACACTCTCCAAGGTTCTCTATCCTCACAAGGTAGGGGTAAGGTCTGCGTACACACTACCCTCCCCAGACCCCACGGTGTGGGATAATACTGGGTATGTTGTTGTTGTTGTTGTACTCTCCAAGGTTCACAATATCCACCAGAAAGGTCACACTAGAAAGAGTTGTAACTAATTCCCTGATTGTATGCAACAAATGCATGAGAAAGTTCAGAGAGAAGATCCATAAGGTTCCAACTTCCAATTTAGGGCGTAGAAATTTAAGGTGGAACTGACCTTCATTTGCTTTGAGAACACATTTGAGTGGAAGCAAATGTGCCAGGAAGAGACATACATACGTCCATGATACAAAAATGACCTCTCAAGTGCACAAGAGTAACTATGTTCAACAACCTGCAATTAATAGTTCGTTTTGCAATCAAGCTGAATAGTCCAATTTTCCAACTTAGTGTCCTTTCAAAACCAAGAGACCTCTATACAAACACAAATCCGCACTTGCCTCATCAGCAGGGAGATCAAAAATTGTTTGCAACGGCCCAGGTTTCTGATGAACAACAGTAGGTCCTTCTTTATCCAAAGCAATCCTTCTACGAGTATTACCACAGCCATTCAAACCCCTAAGAAACCAGAAAGAAAACAAGAGGGAAAGAACATTATCCACCAGTTCCCAGAAAAATTATTTTTTGGTGAGATAGATATGACAGAACTATAATGATTTGTCATCAATAATTTTTTGATGAATCAATAATATTCCAGCAATAGAAAGAATAACTAATCCTAAATAAGTCTCCTGCAACTCTCCGTTGAAAGCAAGTTTTGTTCAAAGAGTTATTCACTTATTTTATTTGTAATTGCAAATTAGAGGAGCATTATCTAAAGATTGCAACAAAAAACCAGAAGATTACATCTCATTACTCACTTGCCAACAAGTGAAATAGAGAATATAAAGAGTCACTTATCAAAAAGGAACTATTAAAAGAGGAGTTTCCACAAAAGGGAAAGTACTGTCTAACCTCTTTAACGGCTATATAAGCTACGTTCTAAGAATTGTGCTCTACTGACAAATAATGTTGAATGCTTAACAACCATACAAGCTCTCCAGAACAGAACTTAGGGAACTGAAAATATCCTCTTAGAAACATTCAAGTCATTTTAGAAGACATTTAGAATTTCACAACCTGAACCTAATTCATTATACATTTGTGAGGACTTTAGCAGGACACAAAGCAACATTTAAATCGGCATTAAACACCAAGGTCCTTTTGGACTTCAAGTGCAATCAGAGCGAAGGTTTTAGTGAAAGACGCAACTGAACAAAAAGTAAAACAAATACATATGTAATATAACAACTAAACCTCAGTGCCGAGCAAGTTAGGATGGCTATATCAATCCTCGATGACCATGTCCATTTAGACTCATCTCAGGCCACTAATATGTAAAATAAAAATAGTACTCCCTCCGTTCTAATTTATTTGGCGAAGTTTGAATTGGCGCGGTGTTTAAAAGAAGGGAAGATTTTTAAACTTGTGGTCACAAACCATAGATATTTGTGTGGAAAAGTTTAAGTTAAATTGCTTCCAAATTTAAAAAGTTATTCTTTTTTACCAAATTAAAAAGGAACTGTTGCCACATAAATTGGAACATAGGGAGTAATAAAATAAAAAAAGAAAGTATTAGAGTTTATTAATATTTTCTACTGACGTATAAATCTTTGAAAGACTAAACAACTCCTAGAAAAGCAGGACGTAAAGTAAAACTGCTAACACGACTAAATATATTCTCAACTAGTAGGTATCACCTATAAAGTTTTTTTTCTTTCACTTTGTCCGATCTTTTGCAAAATCTGCATGGATCCCAAGAGATTGTAGGTCCTTCGACAAAACTTCCTTCCAAGTGATCTTAGGTCTAGTTCGACTCCTTTTACCACCTAGACTCACCATGGTGCATCTAGTGGTCGATGCAGGACATGACCATACAATCTTAAGCAACCTTCTCTGATTTTATCCTCAATAATGTGCTACTTGAACCTTCTCATTAACGTGATCATTTCTAATTTTGTCTTGTCTTGTATTATCGCACATCCATCTTCGCATCCGCATGTCTGTGACACTCATCTTGTGGATGTATTGGACCTTATCATCCCAATATCCACTCTCATTACACATTGTTGGTCTTATAATTGTTCCATAAAACTTACCTTTCACTTTGGTAGGCATCCTTCTATCACATAATACCCTGGTAACACTCCTCCATTTCAACCATTTGAATTTAATCTGTGTAACATCGTCATCTATGAATTCATTTTCTTATAACAACGAGCCTAGATATCTGAATTGCTTGCATTTAGGCACTGCAATCCCGTGTAATCTCACCTCGTTTTCGCGCTTATTATGTTATCTATGCTTACAGTGCATAGAATTAGTTTTACTTCTACTCATCCTTAAACTCTTATTCTCTAGAGTGCTTCTCCATAGGCCAAGCTTTTGGTTGACACCCTCGCCCGTTTCGTCAATTAGCACAATATTACCAGCAAATAGTATACACCATGGGACCTCATCTTGTATTGTGTTGGATAGCTCATTTATAACAAGGGTAAACATGTACGAGCTCAATCTCGATCCCTAATATACACCTATGGTTACGGGAAACTCCTGTGTTTCTCCTACTATTGTTCTCACGCTAGTGATGACTCCTTCATGCATGTCCTTTGTCGCATTTATATATTTAATATGAATTCCTTTCTTCGCCTATAGCCACCAAAGGACCTTTCTAGGTACTCTATCATATGCTTTTTCTAGGTCAATGAACAAGATGTGCGCAAAAAAAAACTACAAATACAAACATTTTTACAAACAAAGGAATGGAAAACAGACTACAAATAAGTGAAATATTTGAAGTATAAATCATGTCGATTAAGTTCAAAACCATTATGAATTTCCGATCAGATGCAAACGTCACAACATGCCTTGCAGTAGCCCCTACCAAACCAGGATCATACCCAACATTCCTTCCAGGGTAACTCATCAAAAACTTCATTGCAGAATCATTTGCAGCATTCCATACAGTTAGGAGACTTTAAGAGGAAAAGGGGAAGGTGAGATTCATTTAACTACTTTTTATCATTACACATAAACATCTTTGTAAGAAATCCAATCACAAAATTCCTTATTGCACATAAATCCAAACTTCAACTCATCTTTTGAAATAGTATGTGCATTTGAGAAGCAAAGAGTGCTAGCATGAACCAAAAGAAGGGACCCTAATAAGCTAAAATGACCATTATCAGATTAAGCATTTTAGTGGATAGCATTAGTCCCACACAGAATGGTTGAAATTCAAACAGGAAGAAACATAAGGCCCCAAAAAAAGAAGGGAGCAGAGCCCTACCTTGAAGAATTGATATTGAGTTTTACTGTTTTAATGTGAAGACAAACCTGTAAAAGAAACGGGCATGATTCAGTTTCATTGGGATAGAACCTCCACAACATCAATCAAAACTATGATGCATTATTCTAAAAAGAAGAAAAAAAAGATGAAACAATCAATAGACACCTGCCCTGACGTGCTGTCCAATGTATACCATACAGCACCTGTCTGACCTTCATTTTCAACAGGTACAGTCACCGAACCAAGAACAGCACTTTTCCAAATTATATCCCAATCATATATTGTTACATTTATCTGCCGCACAATCAAGTGAAAGAATTATTGTAAAGAAAATGACCAAGATCACCATGCCCATGTAGCCTCAACTTAATGTAACAAATAGAAATAATAGCAGTATATCCAAAGAGTATTACAAAAACACAGCATTGCACTTCTGCTTCATTTGATAAGATGTGTTGAATAGCTTACCTCTGCTGGAAGCTCATCAACTGAAAAGTTGAACTCCTCCCCCCACATAGGATTTCTTGAACCAGGGATCATTGAACTACAACAGGTATAAAAGTAGTACTTGAAATATGTTTAACAGATGCAATAACACATGCTGAGTATATGCTTTCATAAAAGAACTGCTCCAACTTTTGTAAATCCATTCCTCGTTACCCCAAGAATACGTGAGCGCACACGCATATATCTCAAGCCTTGTGAGCATAACCATCTATGTCTCTCTCTCTCCCTCCCCC